GTCAGTGTGAAAGTTTTACCCACGTGCACGGGTATTGTTGCCGTGATCAAGCCGCCAGTAACGTGGGAAAAATTCGATTTACCAGGATGGCAAATTCTTTCGTGCTACCGCGCCAAAATTGAGCACGAACGACGAATGACAACTCTCAATTCATACTTTTTGGTGAGGAATTAAGTACACGCCATTCTCATTTAGTGCAAAAAAAAGTCAAAGCTGTATTTTCGATGAACCAAATTGTGTCTTCTGAATCATATATACATAGGGTAAAAACCATTTCCTTTAAGTAAACAAGTCACATAAGCCGGCATTGCGGACCCCTACACTGAATAAAGAAGGGGTCAAGAAGGAGAGAGAAAACATAGGGGGTGGTCAAGAATGTCGTTCAAGGGGAGGGGAGAATTCTTACTTCAAAGAAGTAGCCACCTTTGTAAGATCTTGCTAGAGGTCTTAATGATTTCTTTTTATTTAATTTCAAGAGCTCGTAGTTGAAAAACAAAAAGTTCTAATTGAAGTATTATAAGGTCTTCTTAAATGTAATAGCTATTTCTAACTCTTTCCTGTCTAATCTATCACAGTGCTAAACCCTGGTTTCACTTGCCATTTCCAGGTCTTCAGGCGGGGAGGGGGGGTCTTGGCGAAATTTTGATTTTTCCATTTTTCCTCAAAAATGAAGATAGAAATGTACTAGGCATGGAGGAAACAAGATTTAAGACTGATCACTTGCAACATGGTAATGATAAAAAAACCTACTGGGAGATTACGCACTTTTGCGACCAAAATTAATTTTATTTGTCGTGATTTGCAGAAAAAAGAAAACAAGAAGTATTAGTTAAAGTTAGTTTTTCAGTCCGATAAGGTTTCGGCTGTTTAAGGCGGGCACTGAATTTTTACACTCCCTTTTCAATACACTTCGCTGCTACATATAGATAATACAGAGGTCAGCAAAAAACCAACTACTTTTTTGTACTATTGCAACTTAGTACCCGTAAACCCTTGGGCGTACAAGGTAGGGGAGTGGGTGAAATCCCCGGAGGGTTTTTTAAATCAACCACCAAGACAAGTCATCACGTATCCACTGATACTTTTCTCTATCAGAACTTTAACCTCCTCCCCAACAAATCCCAAACGTAGGTAGCTCGGTTACTTAGTGCAATTCTAACTAGCCAATGTAGTTTTAATCATGTGGATTTTTCTTTAGTGACTTTTTCCTTTGTATCGCCTGCAAATCTTCTTTGAAAGATAATCAAATTTCCCTTTACTTTACTAACAATTTAATGTTAAATTTGGTGATTTAAGTTAACCCGCGACCTTTACCCGCACCCGCACCCGCACCCGCACCCGCGACCTCTACCCGCGAGTCGCGACCCTCGACATTTGGACATACTCGTTTAGAAACTGCAGTGCAGTTCCCCACCCGCGTTGGTTTAATCGCCATGCGCTGCAAAAATTGAACTCCGTTAACTCCTTTGAGACTTTGTTTTATAAACACAACAAAAATGAAATCTGTGATTACATAACATATCTTGTAGTTTGTATTATTATTTTTTTTCTACTGGTGGCTTTCCGATCAGGAAGAAAAGATACTCGCATCCTTCTCCCGTAGCTAGGGCCCGTTTCACGAAAGACCCTGCAGAAACTATCCAGTTACTAAGCCCCCAAACCAGTTAACTGACAGGTTCATTTTATCATTTTTAAAATTATTGAAACTTAGCCTGTTCCAGGCGTCGCCGTGCCGGTTGTCCTGAATCAGAACAGAAGTAACAGATAGGCTGATTTGCCGTGGTACATAGTTTTGCAGCTAGTAGCTCGAGGATGATCTTTGTCGGTCAAACAGGCTGCAGATGTGTTTTGCTGATTTCGGCGAGAGGTTTCGCGATATCGTAAAGAAAATAATGTAAACATCCTTGTCTTACTTCGTCGCTGGTCAATGTTTTCGAGCTATACCGCTTAACTTTGTGCTTTTTATGTTTTCCCAGGGTTGCATTTTATAGCATGCAGCATAATTACTTTATCCTTTCTGCCAAAAAACGATTTCTTTCGGTCGTAGGCTTTGCAAGCTCAGACCTTTTATTCAGCTAACTCTTTGCAGTAGAGGGTTAAAATTTGTCCGATAACATACAAATCGCAATCTTTACTTAAATAGTCAAAAACCATAACAGAATGGTCAAGAAAAAGTGATAATATAAACATTTTTTGTATTCCGTAGTTCATTTTTAATTATTATCATTTCTTGTTTTCTAAACAGTAGCCTTGGCTTAAATAGCATTGAAATTCTGCCTGAACAAGTGTTTGCTAAACCACTGCTAAGCAGTCTAGAGACATTGTAGGTGCAAAAGGAAAAGCACCGAATTGCCATGAATTTAGAATGACCAAATGGCACTCGGTTGCTGGGTTCAGTTTTCCAAAAAGGCATCAATTTTTCTGCAACGATTTCCTCGTTTTATTCGGATTTTAAGTAGAATTGAATACAATCGACTATCGCAAAAATCTCGGGATCAAGGTGGCGGATGGTTCCAAATCCTTCCTCAACAAGGAATTACATCATCAATGCTAGTGTTAAAGATTATTAATGAGTTTGTTTACTTCTTAATTTTTTTAACACCTTACTAAAAAGTATTTTTCGCTTTGAGGGGAAGAATTGATGGAGTTTGGATTCTGCAAAAAATTCAACAATATGACTTCACTTCTATTTGGCAAGAAGACTTGGCGCTATTGTCATTAGCATTACACACTCTTCCACTCCTATCAGTCCTCTTCACCTTGTGATATTCTAAGGTATAATCTTTCGATATCTGCCTGAGGATGCAATGCCTTCGATAATTGTCTACAATTTACGTGTTTTTCGAGCTATTGACCGAGCTCTTCTTTCCAATACCAATCAAATGAATTATTCCAGTATCAGAATATTTGTCGTTAAATTGGGGAATTAAACAGACTCCGGGAAGCATACACTTTAAATGATCTCTGGATCTAATAAATTGACAACCCAATTTTAATATTCCAGATGGACACAGCTTCAATAATCATAGTTTTGGTATTGTTTTCTGCGGATTAATTGACGGACGTGATAATATTGAAAAACGTCAATAAGGCCTTTACAGCGTGTTGTAAAGCAGGATACACACTGGGATGAGGCAAGCAAAGAGCACATACAGTTGAACCTTCATTAAGCTGCCACAACCCAAGGCGCCGAAATTATTGCAGAATAGAATCGGGAATTTAAACCTCTATTAAGCGGCCATTAATGAGGCCCATGATACACATAGTTTGGCTCTTTTTGAAGAGAAATATAATTAAAAAAAAAAGTCCGAGATAGGAGGTGATGACCGATTGTAAACCAGTAATGTTCCTTCCATGGCTTTGTTTTTGTTTTTGTTTTTTTTTTTTCATAATAAAGTGACTGTTTCTGCTTAAGTTTATGCTAACTTATGACGAACCTCTATAAATTTTGCTCATTAGGAACCTCTATAAGGGGGCCTCTTGCCGATTCCCGTAGGGTTGCTGCTTAAATGGAGGGTCCACCAGTATCATTTTGAAGGTGCAGTTTCGAGTTTAAAAGATGAAGTCTTTTGTCTTTCTTGGTGCGAATCTTCCTCGTTAGCATGGGCGTTTTGTACCACGTGACTCAGCAGCTGCAAAAGGCCCATTGCTTACTGAAATCCGCTGATAAATCCTCAAAACATAAAAATGTTCATTTTGATACATTCTACGAATTAGTGACGCTCTGAAGACCTTTGAAGCTGATTTTCATTATACAGGTATTGTCAGGCTTCGCTCAGAAATTATTACGTATCATATCGCCAAACCTGCCGTATTTGTTTCAAATGTAGTCAATGGATTTCCTTTAATTAATGCAAGCCTCTCATTCCTAAAAACTGACTTTTTGGTGAGCATATGCTAACCTTTCCACTTTTAAAAATTTGATTGCATGTTTGAGCACAAGTATGTCGCGTTGTTTGTTTCCTTGCCTTTATTATTATCATGATTATTTTCGGGATATTCTAAGTTTAACGTCATCGTCAACATCAAACAGATAAAGGAAAAAAAAACAACTCAGAAATTGCAACGTAGTTTTTTTTTCACAGATGATTAGGGCTAAGCCCGGAACGTCTGGAAATTAATTTCATATAAACACAGCACGTTTGTCGTATTTTTCGTTTTTGAAAAACTTTTTTCCTTACTTGTATGCGTGTGCCAAGGGACATCGTGCTTACCAGCTTTTTGACTACTCTCTGGTGGAATACATTTTTTCTTCATCCTTATCAGTTCATTTTCATTTTAAAAATGCAATTTTAATTAACATTTTAACAACTGCGCGAATTCTCGAAGTTGTTCCGGTTATATTGAAACATGATGTATATCCAGAAAGCAATTATGCTTCCAAATTCATGACATAACTTTCTAAGGACATACTTCGAGATCCTGATAGGCCAGTGTTTGGTGTAGTATTATAAAATAACTGTAAGAAAATGCTTTAAAAAGTATGAACTTGGTTTAAACATTCATAACGAGATGGACAATTTCCAATGTTTTAGTCACTGGTGATTTTAAAGACTAAAAACCCCGGAAGCCACATTTTTTTAGAGCATCAAATAACCGTACCCAGGTGTATTCTTAGTAATGCAGGCACACAACTTTAACTAGTACGGAACCTGGCAGTCGGTTTCATCATCTTGAGTTTGTTTAGCGGTGTAATCTTACATATTTGCAGGGTGCTCGTCATGATTGCAAACAGTGTAAAGACAATTTTTGATATCATCTTAAAAATTGTGTTTTTGTCACTGCTTAATTGGGGTGAAATTAAAGACGTCCTCGCAACACCAGGTAAGTTAGTGACCACACTATCATGCTTTTGTTTTGTGTTGTGTTGTTCTCTTGTTGTGTAGTTGTTGTTGCTGTTTGTTTGTTTTCTCCTCTTTTTTGGAAAATTCATTTTACTATAAAAAGTAAGACTAGAAAACTTTGTTTCAGCAGCTTCAATCACAGTAGTATTGTCAGATCCAGCTCCTAATGTCCGCACTTTGGAAGGGTTCAAATTTTCCTGTTGGGCCAAAGGATCTCCTCCAATATACACTGCATTGATAAAGGCAAACACAGTGTTAGTTAACACATCAGAAACAGCAAGTATCCAGTTAGATCAAGAAGGAAACTACAGCTGCGTGGCGACAAGTGATCAAGGAAAGGACACAAAGGAGTTTTCAGTTTCTTTTACAGGTTGGAATTCTAAAATCTGTACTCCTACCCAATAAATGATGAATGACACTAAAATTTCGCGGGCCAATTTAATTTCTCTCATTGGGATGCCAAAATTTGGTGAAACCTACAATGTCCACAATTTATCACACACATGGCCAAAAACAACTAATAATAGAAATAAAATAAATAGATAAATAATAATATACGACTTAACGTTTTTTAAATCACTATATTATTAATGTATGTACCTCTGATGGACTTCATTTTCCTCTTTACTAATAATGGATTATGTAGTTCGGAGTACAGTAAATCTTTGACATTTCTAGCTTTTATTCCCTGAAAGAGTGTTATGTCATGGTGTATGCCGGATTGATCATTCTTTCTATTCAGATTGTGGGCCAGATTGCAGATGTTACTCGAGCTATATTTACGGAAACTACATTACCTGCAAGAGTTTTTCATACTTAAGCCAATGTGCCCCAGTGATTACTGAAACATTGTAAGGTGCCAATCATTCTTATATTAGTGACAAGTTTAATCTGTTTGCTTGTGGTACGTTTGTTTTACTTTGTTCCAGTTAGAATAGTAATATATTTTTTTTTTCCTTTAGAAAACAAAGAGTTTGAAACTAAGAACGAATGGATTACGTTAATGTAAAAAATAAAGCCATGGGATAGCAACTCTTTTTTGTAATTCACCATTTGCGTATCTCTTATAATAAACCTTGTTTGGCCCCGAAAATTGTACATAGATATTGCCCTCAATTCCCCTGAGACGGCTGAAATACCCATGAGAATTTAAAGGCCCATTGCCAACCTTGATGCAACGCTGTCCTTTTTTCGTTTTGTTTTGAAATAGCGCTTTTGTAAACAGCGTGCTCTGATTGCTCAACAGTTTTTCCAGCCTTTTTCGCAAAAAGACAAAAATAGTCGGAGCTAGTCAGCTGTGGTCGCGTCGGCGTTGTGATTTTCCCCATCAAATGGTTGCACACTACGCTCCGGAGATACCAGACTACCAAAAGGTCAAAAGATGACTGGTTTGCCTCGTACTTTCTTGTCGTTCACAAGTAACTGAAGTGGGTATGACCTCATTTGGCGTCCCACAGGGGTCTGTGTTTGGTCCTCCGTTATTCTTAATCTATATTAACGATATTGACAACTCTTCAGCGAAATTCTCATTCTATCTATTTGCTGATGACACGAACTTGTTGAATGCTGACACTAATTTGAAATCTCTTTAAAAAACCATCAATAGCAACTAGACTGGTTCCATGCAAATAAGTTAACGCTCAATGCTAAAAAGTCAAACTAAGTTATCTTTCGTCCATATGAACGTAAGTTGAACTACTCGGTTAACATTGAAATGATTGATAAGTGTACTCAAAATGCTACTACCCTTGAGTGCAACAGACCATGTTAAATATCTTGGCGTCCTATTAGACAGCAATTTAAGCTGGAAATTTCATATTAATAATGTGGCATTAAAAGTAAGCAGAACTGTTGGTGTTGTTGCCCGTCTTAGGCGCTTCTTCCCAGATATTAACCTTTTAAATATTTATCAATCATTGATATTGCCTTATCTGACATATGGTTTGGCGGCCTGGGGTCAAGCTGCCAAACTGCCCATTTACAAAACATTCTCGTGCTTCAAAAATGAGTCCTTCGTTTGAGGTATATTTCTCAAACCCAGACGACATGCATTACCTTTATTTATTTGCTCAAAAATTCTACCCTTACAAATATTATATGCTGAAAAAGGATCTTCTATAATGTTTGACGTCTCCTGCTTAAATGCTCTGTCTAACATCTGTGATTTCTTTACTCAAGCTAATTCAAAGCACAAGCATGAGACCAGGTTTTCTTCGTCCGGAAGTTATGTCCAATCTTCAAGACTGAATCAAAATCGAGGTTCTTTTTCCAAGTTTGGAGCTAAACCTTGGAACACGATTTCCAACAAATTTCGTCAACTCTCCCAAGGAGCTTCTAAAAAAGTATTTTCGTGACTTATTACTCTCGATAATGGAAGCAGAGGATGATTTTGTTGAAGTGCCCATTCTGCTGCAAAATATCGCAAATTCTGCTGCCACGACATAATGCTCTCAGTAACAATTAATAGCTTCTTTTAGTAGTAAATGTCAGGGGCACCCAACGACAATTTTCGGAAAATATATATCTGTTCGGAAGACGATTTGAGATCTAGAATTTTCGGAACATTTTTTCCAAAATTTCTTGCCTGTCTGCCTCTCCTAGGATTTTCGAACATCTAAAAAATGGTATAATTTCCCATTTTTAACGGATTTATACCCTAAAAAGGTCGCCTACAATTTTCGGGAGCCTTTTTTCTGGCTGAAATTTTCGAATAGGTAAGTTTTGATCCCTGTAATTTTTCGAATCACTAGCTTTTCAGCTAGGAAATCCGAACAGATGAAATAGGGGATAAAAATATGCTTATATCTACCGTTTTAATACTAAAATACGTTTGACAATGCTATGTTTAAGTGGTTTTGAACCATATTCTTGTTGTACTAATTTCGTTGTAAAAGACATTATATCTCTCTTGTGTTAAAATTAAGTCATAATGTTTTTCTTTTCTTTTCTTTTCTTTTCAGTACTCTTAGGTGGACAGAAATTTCAGTTATACCAAACAGAACGTTTAGCCGCATGACAAATCTGAAAACGCTGTGAGTATAATGCTACCACTTTTTTCAACAACACGCTTTCAGTGGGAGGTGAAGAGATACTAACTATCCCCGAGTAATCACCCCCTTTTGGCTTTCTTTTAATTTCACTTCATTTATTAAGCTTCAATAGCTGGCTCTTTCCCTTTTGTAGAAACTTATACGAGAACAAAATAAACGGACTGACATTTGATGTGTTTAGCAAGCTGACAAGTCTAATTGACCTGTAAGTAACTAGATTGCACATTTTTCCCTAACCAAGGTAGAGATGAGTCCTTGCTGTCGACGTAAGGATAAGAATAATTAGTAAAAATAAAAAATGTCCGAAGAAAAAGCACGAACTATAAAATAAAAAAAAAACATACACGGATTCATAAGAAATAGATTACTTTATGGTATAGACATATTCAACAAGGCTGAAGAGTGTGATTTTACAACTTTTTTCCACTTTCATCAGCATAACACCATCTTCGGAGTCAGATTCGATGATTCCTTCAAAGGAATCATTGTCGCATAAATTGCTTTATGACTTGATGCACATATTTTGTTATAGTGATCTGTCGGGGAACAAGATAGCTGAGCTACCGGGCAGTGTGTTTTCCAAGTTGGCCAAACTGACTAACCTGTGAGTATGTGTTTACGCACCTAAATACATATCGTTTTTCTTTATTTAATAGAATAGCTATAGAATAGCTACAAATGTGCTTCAAAAAGAACAGCAATGTGATTCGTCATGGTTTTCTGTAATTCTGTAAGTGAGTTTGTAAGACTTCGTTTTAGGGAATTAAACTCTGGTTTAATAAACAAACCTTGTTATGTATGACTCATCCTTAGATATTGTTTCAGAGTTCAAGGAACTTGGCTTACTTGTGAGTCATAACCTCTCCTGCAATTCCCACGTTTCCAAAGCAAACAGAATGTTGGGTTTAATCTCGCGTACATAAAAGTCTATTTGATGTACCTACATTGTGTAGAAGAGAGCCGCAAAAAGTTAATTTTAAAATCTGACGGTAATTACGAATCTCGTTTGAAGGAGCTTAATCTTGTGTCTCTTGAGAAAGACGCTTTATAGCTGATGTCACTTTTTTGTATAAAGTTTTAAATGGTTATTTTAATGCAGATTTTAGTAGTTTTCTAACTCAAGCGGTTTAAGGCCTGGGTCAAAGCCTGTGTTCTGAGCATATGAATGATTGGCAGTATCTCTCGCTAGAAGACCTAGAAAAGAAAGAATCCTTCCCCAAAAGTATATCATGAGGTTTTCTTGTTTAATTATGGTCACGTGACATGTCACGTGACCAAAGCTTGAAAATGAAGGACTTTGGCGAATTTGTGGGGAATTTACATTGTTTGGATAAACAAATTGGCTTTTCTGAAAGAGGATAAACATACCCAACTTTCTACGTTTGGAATGAATGTACGCGAAGTTTGAAATTAAAGTGTTAAATAATTGAAGATTAATTAAGGCATTTAAAATGATGGTTTTCCTTCTAATTTTGCAATGTGCAATGGATGGTCTTTCAAACGTGAAGTGAAGATTAAATTTGGGCATTTAAAATGATGGTTTTTCTTCTAGTTTTTTATTGAAGTGCAATGGATGTTCATTCCAAACGTGAAGTCAATAATGTACGATTTTTAGCTAAATGGTCGCGTGACATATTGCTCGACTTATTAACACAATATTTATACTTTAAAATGTTGAGGACGATGAGTTCTTTATGTGTGCCAAATTTTGATTCAGCGCCATCATCTATGCCAAAGTTATAGCCAATAATTTATTTTGCCAAGGTAAACCCCTTAGTCCCGGGCCTTTAACTACTTAAAAAATTTTTATTGTCGAGACGATCGTCATACCTTTCGGATTTTTGACTGCTTAAAACTAAGGAAAAACTTTGCTAGGACTACCAGTTTTAAAAACTCATACTTTAACAGAATTGTGGATAGCCGGAACTGTCTACCTCGTGTAGTTCGCTTTAGTCATGATTTACACTCATTTAGGGGCGGTGTTGAGGGGTTTTTGGGCCGGCCTGGTGATCTTTAGTCTGTAAGTGGAACTGCAGGGTGTAGATGATTTGTCACACTGCGCTTTTTTGTTTTGCATTTTTATTGTATTTAGGACATGTGTACGGAAATGCATCTTGTATGGGGTCTCTGGCTCTTTTGCGCAACTCCAATGGCTCTCTTCAGTTTTTGTTTGTTTGTTTTTTTTAAATAATATTATTGTCATTATTATTATTATTATTATTATTATTATTATAGAATTTTGAACTTTTATCATTAATTATATCTATTTCCTCTTCTTTTATGTAAGGTTAAGTTACTTGTATTTTTTAGAATTTGTAAATGAATAGTTTTTTCTTTCTTCACTTATAATATATAGGATTGTTTTTGTTCTCTAATGAAGGAATTGTTTTTAATTTGTAAACAATACGATATAGTTTAAAATTGTAAATATTACTTATTGTTCTGATACTTACATTAAGATTGGTTGTTATTATTATTATTATTATTATTACTATTATTATAAAAAATGAATTCTTTATAAAAATCTTATAAAAACTACACACAAAACTTCTGTAAAATATTCAGTGAGGTAAGTGGGATTCGAATTCGTTTTAGTCGAATTCAAACATACAGAATTTTTTACTTCTTACGGAGATTGTTTGCTTAACACCAAACTTTAAGTTCCTAGTGTTGGATTTTCAGTAGCAGGTCTAGATCACACGAAATTCGGCTTTTATCAATTTCAAAGTTTTTTGTTTATTGTTGTCATAGTAATATCAATTGTACTTAAAACTACATTTTCACAAATTTCAATCCATAGCCAATTACTGGTGAAAATTTTATAGCGATCAGACAAGGAGAAAATCACTTTTAAGGCCATTGAAAAATATCGGTATGGCCTCTCAAAAGCTGTATCGAAACACCTTAATCAATGGCCATTGACATGGGCATTGCATTGGCCATTGGCCATATCATATACTGTATAAACTGTCTGAATTCGATTGAAATACTGCCAAATTCACCGCTGATATTACTTAAATTAGTAGTTTCCAATGGAAAGTTAAGTGCTGCGAGTAAAGCACGACATTTCAAATTAAATAGTTTGAACCAGTTGCAATTTATTTACTACCAAGGGGAGAACAAACCTTGTCAGACGTTCCAGAAAAGCTCTTAATAACTAAAGCAATTTATTAACTAGAGTTATTCATTGATTACGGATCCGCGTTCGTCACTTACGGAAAAATTACGGAAACGAATTAAGAGGCAGTCTGCCTAAAAGCGGTCCACTCGATTTCGCGACAAAAAATACTTTTGCTTTATTTTTTGTCAGTGAAGAGGCTTTAGTAGGTGTATACTAAAATCGCTATTTTTGTGTTCAAATTCTTATTCTTAGCTCTGCTACAAGCCAAAAACGAATTGAGTCCGTCTCGGCTTCTCAGAGAGTGTTTCGAAGACTAAAATTGATGGATTTTGAAAAGCGCGTTGCAAACAACCGAATGCCCGCACAAAAAATCTGTTCGATTCAGTTTTTTTAGTTAACCTTCGATAGTTCACAGGCTAAATAAAAATATCTTTGATCAAAACGTGTTCAAGTTACAGTGGTTCAAAGAATACCTATTTTGCAGGCTTGATCGAAACCTTGAAAGTAAGGAAGATTTGAGGCAAAATATCTCAAAAGTTGCGGCCTAAATCTGGTTTAAAAATCATATCAAAGTAAAGTTTTAAGCTTATTTTTTTGGTTTATAGGCTCAGACTTGCGGGTATCTTCTGGGATTGCAACCAACAGTAGATTATAATCTGCCATTTTGCGTATTTGCATAATTACAGGCCGTGTCAGATGTCATGATTGTACAGGTTAAAAGTTCCATAAAACTGCCTCTTTTGACACTTGAATTCGTCTCCGGCCTCTAAAAAAAAGTAATTAAGCTTCTTTAAGTACTTTTGAATCGAAAGAGATATACTAACAGGGATGGTCATGCATGTTACTGATTACCACGATCAACTGGCGGGCGCCATCGTCTTGTAACTACCTGCACGGAACAGTAAACAATGTTTTTAATAGAATTCTCTAGATCAGAAGTTGATCCAAGCTCTCTAAGGAATAAAAATAAATATCACTACCCCGGGATACAAAACATGTACAAGAAAGGCAACGTAGAATTTTAAGTTCTTTCCGCAATTTCAGAGTGAATTTCACCGCCGTGCATATAAAAGTCCATAAATTATTGTAATAATCAGGCTGTTTAAAAGCGTTTGACGCACAACAAAAACAATTAGTCATTTACCGTTTTATCTGTTCTCGGTAAATAAGACGCTTACCTTTACTTTAGATTCTTGATGGAAGAAGTCTATCCAGGCAGCTGAAGTTAGGCAGTTTCGTTTCAAAATCAAATCACAGCGTGATAGTGTCACGTAATGTTATGGTCACGTGGCTACGTAACCCGTCGTGCTCCAAAATCTTTGTGATAAACGAACTTTCTGCTTCTCTCCCGAAAAAAAAAGCCCTAATTGAATGAGTTTTTCCTCATTAAGTTGCACAAAATGCGTATCACACCAAGGAATTTGTATTGGTAATGAATCATTATTTTCACGGCATGGACTCCGCCCTTCCATATTTTCAGGCCCGGCCCGCATAGGAGAGGTGAGGGTGGGGGACGGTGGCATACCAATATACCCGCTTTTGTCCTTATAAGATACCAATATAGCTAAAGATTTGTAAAACGTTTGATACCGAATGCCTGAAATTACCTTGAAAAAGAATACTATATACCTAAATAAGGTATTTCAGGACTGAGACAGACCGTCCAACCCGGCTTTTTTATTTATCCCAGAATCTAGTATCAGCGTCCAAAGACAAGGAGCGAGCCGGTATGGGCGGGTTAAGGCGGCATGCTCCCCCAGAGACGCCATTTCTATAGTGTTATTAGCCTGCGTAGCAGGCCCTTGAAAGTAGTGGACGCAAGAAAGAACGGGTGTCTCCGCGTGTCTCTCTCGCGCGCCCGTTCCTTTTTGCACCCACTACCTTCAAGGGCCTGCTACGCAGGCTATGTGTTCTGACAAGGTCCTGCCTTTGTTTACAATGCTCATACAGTGCCCACTGCGCCTGTCCTCAACTCTAACGACTCAAGGAAACTGTAAAGCTTCCGAAGGTATATTATCCTTAAAGCTCGCATTTGGACCCGCTCTATTGTACTAGGCAGATGGGCAGGAAGGGCGTTATATCAAGCCACGCAACATTGTACTCTAGGACGGAACGTAAGACAGCGACGCAGATAGCCGCAAGGTCCATTGCACCAATTTCCTGGGCAACTCCCCCCCTGCCTAGACCCTTGTGCGAACGAACTGTTTTGAGTCTGGACCTTGTCAACCTGTGATTAAAAATCATTTATCTATTTATTTTATTTGGCACTAAAATTCCGTAAACCTGAACAAAATTGAGCCCAGATACCTGAAAACCCAAAACCCCCGGCCAGACCTATCTCCTTTAGAACGTCAAAATCACGTAACCCGGATGTCAACAAGACGTCACATTAAAATACTCTACATGGAAACTACAAGACTCCCTGTAGCTGCATTTTTAAAGACTATTACATCCGTTCTTTGGAAACGTTTTTGTCGTACTAACTATTTTGGCCTCTTATATGGGACATTCTAAGTTGACAGCATAAGGGATTAGAGACCAGGTAGCACAGGCCACCCCACCAGGTTCCTAATCTCAATTGTTGCACATGCGATTTCACTCTTCTAGCAACAAACTTGAAAAACAGGAATCAAATTTTGCTCTAAAAATTATGCTTTGCCAAGCCCGAGAAATGAATTCACATGTGCAACAATTACAATAAGCGACCTGTCAGGTTGGGGCAAAAGGGTTGGTAGGTCACCTCTCTAATCTTTTATACTGTACGTGAATGTTAGAATTGTACCATATAAGAGGCCAAAATAGTCATTACAAGAAACTGGTTTGAAATGAACGGATAAAAGAGGGTTCAAAAAATGCACCTAAAGCCAACCTTACACCTCGTTGGCATACTAACGTGATTCTTGAAAACGTTTTAAAGGAAGGGATTAATAAAGCCTGCAAGGCGTATTTTGCTGTGTGATCGATTTGAACTTTCGATTGACCGGGAGTTGGGGGAAGTCAAAAAGTGATTCCAAGGGAGAGGTTTGCCTGCCATCCTCATCGGGTCGCGCGATAACAAAAAAACGCATGGGCGAGGATTAAAAAGGCCAGTGGTACCATGCCGTAGAAAATGATTCATTACCAATACAAATTTCTTGGTGTGATACGCATTTTGTGCAATTTAAGGAGGAAAAACTCATTCAATTAGGACTTTTTTTCTGGAGAGAAACAGAAATTTCGTTTATCACAAAGATTTTGGCCACCGACGGGTTACGTAGCCACGTGACCATAACATTACGTGACACTATCACGCTATGATTTGATTTTGAAACGAAACTGCCTAACTTCAGCTGCCTGGATAGACTTCTTCCATCAAGAATCTAAAGTAAAGGTAAGCGTCTTATTTACCGAGAACAGATAAAACGGTAAATGACTAATTGTTTTTGTTGTGCGTCAGACGTTTTTAAACAGCCTGATTATTACAATAATTCATGGACTTTTATATGCACTGCGGTGAAATTCACTCTGAAATTGCGGAAAGAACTTAAAATTCTACGTTGCCTTTCTTGTACATGTTTTGTATCCCGGGATAGTGATATTTATTTTTATTACTTAGAGAGCTTGGATCAACTTCTGATCTAGAGAATTCTATTAAAAACATTGCTTACTGTTCAGTGCAGGTAGTTACAAGACGATGGCGCCCGCCAGTTGATCGTGGTAATCAGTAACATGCATGACCATCCCTGTTAGTATATCTCTTTCGATTCAAAAGTACTTAAAGAAGCTTAATTACTTTCATTTAGAGGCCGGAGACGAATTCAAGTGTCAAAAGAGGCAGTTTTATGGAACTTTTAACCTGTACAATCATGACATCTGACACGGCCTGTAATTATGCAAATACGCAAAATGGCAGATTATAATCTACTGTTGGTTGCAATCCCAGAAGATACCCGCAAGTCTGAGCCTATAAACCAAAAAAATAAGCTTAAAACTTTACTTTGATATGATTTTTAAACCAGATTTAGGCCGCAACTTTTGAGATATTTTGCCTCAAATCTTCCTTACTTTCAAGGTTTCGATCAAGCCTGCAAAATAGGTATTCTTTGAACCACTGTAACTTGAACACGTTTTGATCAAAGATATTTTTATTTAGCCTGTGAACTATCGAAGGTTAACTAAAAAAACTGAATCGAACAGATTTTTTGTGCGGGCATTCGGTTGTTTGCAACGCGCTTTTCAAAATCCATCAATTTTAGTCTTCGAAACACTCTCTGAGAAGCTGAGACGGACTCAATTCGTTTTTGGCTTGTAGCAGAGCTAAGAATAAGAATTTGAAAACAAAAATAGCGATTTTAGTATACACCTACTAAAGCCTCTTCACTGACAAAAAATAAAGCAAAAGTATTTTTTGTCGCGAAATCGAGTGGACCGCTTTTAGGGAGACTGCCTCTTAAAGTCGAGAGGAGACCAGTTTCCCGGCCGAGGTGCCCCTAATAAAATTAATAAGGACGGCTAATTTGCAGTCGCGTGATAGCTCGAAAATTTCTGCCTTAGTGCCACAAGAACACCAGATTAGGATGCGTTCTGACGAACGCGATTAAGCTTACATAAACTAACTTACCAGCTTACAACAAAGCCTGTCTTAAAACCATATAAGACCGAATCGTACAAATTTGTACGATTTTGACCTGGGAAACCATCTTGAATAAATTGTAAGCTGTTTGGCTACTAGGCCAAACCCAAAGGGTATCATGGGGAAAAACCATCTCTGACCTCCATTTTATAAGTGTTTTAAGTTTGTAGACTGAATTTTTTGGCATTTTCAAACGAAAAAAGTTGGCCCTTTTCATTCGTGGGAATTTAAATTAGACTGCTGCAAAGCCTGGTAGCTTTCCAGCAATAAAACCCTACTTTTAGAAAATTTTATGTCCAATTAAGACCAGTATCATTTCATAATTGCAAAAGAACTGAATTAAGGGATCATAAACAAGAAAGAAATCTTTAAATTAGTCAGCAGCTGACTAAGTGGTTTAGAATCTAGTAGTTTAGAATCTACCTTTCCTTTGCCATGCTGAAAAGACGATTACTACATCTGTGGCTCCCTTGCGGCTAAGATAAATTTTGTTCGTCCCTTTTTTATCTAACAGGAACCTTCAAAACAATAGGATAGAAAGTCTACCTAAACAAGTGTTTGGCAAACTATGCAATCTGGAACAAATGTGAGTGTAAAGGAGCCCTGATCAATGTCTTTTTCTTCTTTCTCAAGAATGTCCTTTCCTTAAATTGTAGCAACTTATGTGAAAAAAAAACAAGAATTTATAACTATTTATAACTATTTTAATGTTATAAAGAATTCATTTGCGAGTAACAAATAAAACTCTTTATATAAATATATATATTTATTTAATTTTAAAAATATGCAGGATATAATAAGCATGCCTGATGTGAATCCAATTCACACATAGCTCGAAAGTGTTATGCTGCCGAACCGATAAATCGAATCAGGTTATCGAACAATGTCCTGACTCAATATTTCATACAGCGGGTACTTTATAGGTCAAGCAAACCGGCCTCAAATTATTGGAATGACGATGTTTAAAACTCATGATCACATGTAATACTCTTCTTAACTGCATGCTTGGTTCTCTGACATATTACTGTACTTGATCCAGGCCTATTTTCACATCCTAAACAAATTAAAATAAAAAAACCAAGACAATAAGGTGTCTTTACTTGGCCATTCACCGTTGACTTATGCTCTGTTACTCCACAGGGATTTATCCTTGAATCAAATAACTGAGCTACCACACGATGTGTTTTTTAATGTGACAAAGCTGAAGACACTGTGAGTTGAAAGATACCAGAAGCGATAAAGCACACCTTAATACTGGCCATGTTGTAGAAAACATTTCATTACCCCAATCTACCCACAACCTCAACCCTGTCTTAAACCACTTCTATAGACATGCAAGGTACTGGTTAAAACAAAAATAGAAGAAGAAGAAAAGAAAAGAATAGAAAGAAAGAGAGAAAACTAATGAAACTTTGAGGAAAAAAAAAAAAAAGCTTAAGTGTAGGCTTGTGGCCCTTGGAACCCAACTGTTGCTCTCGGGCAGCTAGAAAATTCCATATTTTTATTCAAATTATTATGGTGGGCACACTCGAATTTAAAGCTTCAGGCCACTAGGCTTCCTTCAATTTTCCTTAGAGCACTGCCTTGGTTCCACATGCCATGCCATAATCAAGTTTTTTTTTTTTTGTCCAACACCTCATATAACTTATGACCTTACCTTAACTGACTGCCTAGTTTTCTCGTCAAGGCTTTTAAGCTACACAGAAACACTAAAAAATAATAATAATAACTACTACTGACAACACACACACAAATAAAATGAAATAAAACAAAAACAGTAGTAGCAATAGTAGAAGGCGAAGGGAACATTGACGAAATTCCTTTCCACCCTTTACAAATACGTTTGCCTTAAAACCAATAGCAGTGTACTGACAATTGCCTCTCCAATACAAATTGAGCATAGCGGATTGCTGTTGTCCGAAGTTCACGAGTTAATAACATGACCCAAGCTGAAATCTTCAGTTATTTGGATGAGGCTGAGTATGATTCGGAGAATTTTGCAAATCGAGGAGTTTGCTATCGGCCGAGGCGGATAACACGCTCTGAGATCTGAAGATAGGTAAATTATGTGCGAAAGACGATTTTATAATTAACTTATTATTCATTTTAAAAAGAATAATAATCCGTACTTTAAAACTCGTGCTAAACTATTTCGGTTTCGCAAAAGCTATGAAATAATCTGCTGTTTTTTCCAGCGCTACTAAACGGCTGAGTCCTCGTCCCCATGGACGTTCGGTTTCGGTCATTTTTTACAGTAAATAGCGATAGCCCGTAGTTTTAATTAGAGATCTAAAGATTGAAGATTTCCGGCATCTCCCGCGAACAGCGAATCGAGAAAGTCAAGAAGTCACGTGACGAGGGTCTTACCGTCAGGTTTGCTGTTTGAGGTTGACGTTTGTACGGCTAGAGCAACCTCAAGAAGTAAGTGATTTACCGCAAGATTTTTTGCACCATAAAAAGTCACAATCCCACATTTGAGAAGAAATACGACTTTCTAGAACTTTTTTTGCTCATTGATTATCGAATTCTATTTGAGAAAAAAACTTAATCTTAAAGACAATTTCTGAGCTAAAATAGAAGTTAGTGGATGAATGAACACTAACATGGCAGCTTTGAGCTACTACCGGCGAAATAATATGGGCAGACGGGTAACGTAAAACCGTTAACCGCAAACCGCAGTTTGCCGTTTGCAGTAGAATGAACAAACCTCGATCTTAAGGTCTCTAATGACGCCATTTTACCGGGATCTCAAACGTCTTCCAAATCTGATCAACGGCTTCTTGGTTCGAAAAATTATCCAGGGCATATTTGTCAAAACAGAGAAATATTTTGAACGGAGTAATGTGAGCATGCGCAAAAACACACCTTCCAAGACAATAGAGCCTGCCTTGGAAAACAATCCTTTTAATCTTTGATTGAAAAACACACTAGGAGCGTATAACTGTCGTTATTATTATTATTATTATTATTATTATTATTATTATTGTTATTATTATTATTATTATTGTTATTATTATTATTATTATTTCAGTGATTTGTCCAACAACAATATTACTCAACTTCCCAGTAAAGTGTTTAGCAAGCTGACGAGTCTGACTCACCTGTAAGTGGAGTACAACATCAAATCAGCAAAAATCACACAGGCAATCGATTATTTCAAAAACCGAGACCAAATAATTAGAATAGTTGGTGACCGTTTGAAAATGGATTGAATACGTGTTGCCTTTAGCACAATTACAAATTTTAAAGGTTGTTGACAGTTGGTTGGCTTCATAGAAGCTGCCCAAAATGTTGAGTGCCTAATTATGTGTTCAGAGCAATCTTTTCATCAATCGTCGCCAACTAATCTTTTAAGATAAAGTCAAAGCCGGACGACAGCAGTTCAGTAAGGCAGTTGATTGCCTGAAAAATTACTTTCTTATAGGAGATGAGTTAATCCCTTGCAACGGAATACCTCTTAGATTAGCTTGTTCTAGGCGTTCAGATGGTAGAGCACGGGAGAAAATTTCACGAAGAAAAAATATTTTAGGGAAAACTCAATTTAACTCGCTGCCCATTATCTGACTGCCGTGCTCTACTATCTGAACGCCTGGAATAGGCTACCCTTGAATATATTTTGTTGCATATAGCCACCAGCGGGGGACGTCTGTACACAGGCTAAGTACCATCTGAAGCCGCGTTTTTTTTTTTTTTTTTTTGTAACAAGATTATGTATTTTTTTGACCGGCCGAAATCATCTGTAAGTCGGAAATCTGGTTATTTCAGTAACTGTGCCCAACGGAACAGACGGAATCAACCTCTACTCGTAAGCGAGCACCTCTCATAAGCGACCACTTTGAATATAATCGTTTTGTTTCTCAGCCAAATACTGTTTCAAAAACTCTCTTCCACTTCTTAGCCTGTGTACAGCCAATACCCCCCCCCCCCCCCACCGATGTCTCAAAATGCAAGTGTATGCGACTTATTTCCATCGAGCAATTGAGAGGGAGACATTTTTAAAATCGCTTAATGCTCTATACTGAGCAAGAAAAATTGTCTTACAAGTCCTAATATTAAAGGAAAAGATCCATGATCTTATGCAAGCCTTCCAACTAGATACGGAAAGTCATTAGTTTGCAATAAAGTGTTACAGGTCAGACGCGACTCATAAGCTCGTGATTGTGTGAAACGTCCACCGTTAAAGTATTTTCTTGATTTTGCCCGTAGACTACCACCTCCCATAGGCGACCACCATCCGGGTGGCTGCTTAAGAGACACTGACTGTTGATAAATCCATTATTGAGGCCAAGCCAAAGCAACTCCACAAGCGGTTTAGGCAACTTTATTCGTGGTCTATTATTAAATAATATTTCATAAGGATAGTTTTTTTTGCAGGGACTTGACTAATAATGATATTGAAATTCTGCCAGAAAATGTTTTTTCCAACCTACGCAGTCTGATGATGATGTAAGTTAAATAGCTGTCTGGCCGCTCGCACATAATTGAACATCAGCAGTCGTTTCAGTTAAAACACGCAGGACAAATAAAGATAATTTTATGACCTAAGGCCCGGTTCAGACGCCGAACCTTTCATGAGCCGAACCCAATACATTGAATATAAATACATGAAAAGTCCGGCGTCTGAATCAATTAAGATTTACGCCTGTTTCAATTTGGAACGACTCGCCCGTTCTTTTCGCGTAGCCCGGCCGGGAATCTCGGCTTTGTAGCGACTTTTATTGGAACGGCTTTCGTTCAGACGCCGAACTTTTCATGTACGAACCTAACACATAAATTATTATGCCGTATTTTGTAAGCAGTTTGACCGAAATGAATATTTTTCTCCTTTTGAACTTAGTTCAGCTACCTGAACTGCAATTAAGATCGGCGTGTGAATCAATTCAAAAGTCATCTGGGTCAGCCTTGATTCCAATTCGGTTCGGTTCGTGAAAAGTTCGGCGTCTGAACCGAGCCTAAGTGGGTCTTTTTTATCTATCACCGTAAATAATTCCCCTATCCCCTTTCCCATGCAAGATGGACTTATTTATTTCAGGCAAGTTTGTAGTGGGGGGCTTAATGGAGAGGAAGGTTTGTTTGAGAAAAAAGAAAAAAAAGGTTATTTAGCAAAAACTGGGCGCTAGACGGCTGCTTTTCCAAACAAGTCATGATATCACTTTTTTCCATAAATTAAAGGAAAGAAAATGTGAAAAAGCTCAAGCACGGGAGTTGGGTTTAATGCAAACTGGAAAAAAAAAAACAATTCAGGCGGGTAAACTAAAATATAACATACCGGATCAGTGTACATAAATTTTTAAAGTAATCATGATCAAATAAATGTAGTCTATCGTTTCTTTATTGAAAGGAGAGGGGGTAGGGAAATAAATTTTGTCCCTGAAAAGGGGAGAATTATTAGAGAGAACAACGGAAAGAATTAATACTGCTGTTTACAATCGGGAATTCTTTCTTTTCTCTGTTCACTAACAGGATATTGTCTTCGAATAAGATTGGAATTATACCAGAACAATTGTTTGCCAACCTACATAGTCTGTTGACATTGTGAGTACAAAATAACCGTTTATAATCGCCTTTACAAGGTTTAATAAGCCTATCCGGCGGCAGGACCGAGGAGAGTATCAGTCCTTCCATAACTTTGTATCCACTCATAACAACGGTCCCAGAAGGTCATAAACTGGGCTGGGCTGTTTTGAAAGTGATCTAGATAAAATTTTACCAGGACATTAAGGAGTAATGGAAGGTTGTTGTTGATGATGATATTGTCGTTGCTGTTTTTGTTGTTGTTGTTTTTTATTGGTAGAGCGCTCTTTACGTAAATGCTTTTGAAAATTAAGCCGCAGTTGTGTTAACTTGGGAAAAAGTGATTTTGTGTTCAAGTTTGCACAAAAAATATAAGACAGCAAGTTTGGCGTTCAACTGTTAAATCGTTTTCAAATAATTCAACATTAAAATAAAAATCATTTGAAGGAAAATCATCGCAGTTATATACGCAACTTATGCCGTTGCGAAAAGAAAGCCTAAAAAAAAAATCACGCTTGTACGGGATACGAACCCTTGACCTCTGCGATACCGGTGCAGCGCTCTACCAATTAAGCCATCAAGCCAACTAGCTAAAAAGGAGCGGGTCGTTGAATTGGTTCGTTATAAACTCTTGAAAGGATGATGATGAAATTATGAATATATGAATATGTGAACTGCGGAGGTCAAGGTCAAGGGTTCGAATCCCGTACAAGCCTGAATTTTTGTCAGGCTTTCTTTTCGCAACTGCATAAGTTGCGCATATAACTGCGATGATCTTCCTTCAAATTAGTCTTCACTCCGCAGTTGGGCTATACCAAAATTTTAAAACAGAACGGAATATAACGTTCCAAGTCAGCTTGAATGCAATTTTATTTCCTAGCAGATTCACAAGAAAAAATTGAAGGAAAAAAAAAAAGGAAAAGAACTTCGGACACAACGACGAAAGAAAAAAGCTTTTATACTTGTACTGGACTGAACTGGCAACAACAGACCTGTTGAATTCGCGGAAATAGACAGAAACAATCAATTACTTAACAGGAAGCCGGAAAAAGAGTTTTCACAGGAAAAATATAACAATTATAATAAATTCACGAAAACATAAAAACGCGAATAAGGAATCATAACTTCTTTGAACTTCCGTGGCTACACGTTTTTGTCTGTGGCTCGGCACCCGGCCTCTTAACAGAATTTTGGAGTAATCACTAGCTTCTACCTTCATCCCAAACTAGACCCTACTAGCTTACCATTTCTAAGAGACTACTTCATTTCTAAACAAAGTCATGAAGCTGTTATAGCACTCTAAATTATGAAACCAAAAATCATTCAATTTAAAAACTTTCATTTATTTTTTCTTCCTTTTACCATTTCACAGAAATTTGTACGGGAACCTATTAGCTGAACTACCCGATGGGGTGTTTGCCAAGATGACTAATCTGACCTATCTGTAAGTGGGACAAAAACAGTGATACAATACCAAGGGGAAAGGGATCCGAACAAATAAGAAATTCTATCATTTAGTAGAATACATCAGCCATGGTATGTAATCTGTGTAATCGGCTTTGAAGGAATAACGAATAATAAATTTGAATTATTTTGCTCTCTCCATAAAATAGAGTTATCGCAGCAAACCCTATAACCAAATTACCCGATGATGTGTTTGTAAACCTGACGGATCTGAAAATTCTGTAAGCGTGTAAATACCAGATTGTTTGGGAGAAATGCAGGTGTCATTTTATCAGTTTGTTCAGCACTTACATTGATGGCTTTAGAAGTTACTGTGGACACCAAAACTTAGCATAAGATCAACATCTGCGTTCATCCAGACAAATCTGATCGATGACACCAATGTAAAGATAATAACAGGCCTACTCTGGGACCTTAATAATAAAGGATTAAATTAACTGCAAAAACCGTTGACGAAGATCCTGCTAGTTGTAAACGTTGGATCTCTAGGAAAGAGATCAAATCAGCCAAAATATAAAGAACCAAGAACGAGAAGTCCAAAGACTACAGCAAAGCTGATTTAAAACAACGTGTATTGTTTTTTATAACAATATTTCGGCTGGCATACCAGCCTTCTTCAGGTTTGCAGATGTTACTGAACTTATGTAGCAATCACAATATTATATAGATGGAGAATGTCGCAATGAAAGGGAGAGGCGGAAATGACGTACAAAATAAAAACTGGAAAAGAAAAATACTAAGGATATGGATTATAATAATTCGTCACGGCGGTTTAGGCCATCAGGTTCACGAGTCATGACCTTATCTATCAAATGCGACTCCCTGGCCTTATGAACTGAGTCACGTGAGGAATGAATTTTCTCTAGTGGCCATGGATTAACTGCATGTCAGTATGAGAATGGTTAGAGTGAGAGAGAAAGTGTTCAGAAACAGTAGTGGGTTTAGATTTAATGTTAGTTTTGTCGACTGTACGTCTGGGACCTTAAGTCGCCTAAAGTCGCCTTAAATCGCCTAAACTCACCTTAAGTCGCCTTAAATCGCCTAAAGTCGTCTTAAGACACCTTAAATCGTCTCAAGTCTCTCTAGTTGACCTTGAACAAGAGACTAACTTAGAACTACTGAACCTTCA